CGCCCAGCTAATTTTTTGTATTTTTAGTAGAGACGGCGTTTCACCATGTTAGCCAGGATGGTCTCCATCTCCTGACCTCGTGATCCGCCCGCCTCAGTCTCCCAAAGTGCTAGGATTACAGGCGTGAGCCACCGTGCCTGGCCCCGATAATGTTCTTTACAGCTTTTTTTTTTTTTCTGACCCAACATACTCTCTAGATTCATAACTTTCCTTTAATCCAGGACAGTCCCTCACCCACCCCTGTGTTTCATGGCAGTGACATTTTGCAAGGGTCCAGGCCAGGCTTTGTAGACTTTCTTTTTTTTCTTTCTTTTTTAGAAATGGAGTCTTTCTCTGTCACCCAGGCAGGAGTGCAGTGGCGCAATCTCAGCTCACTGCAACCTCCACCTCCTGGGTTCAAGGGATTCTTCTGCCTCAGCCTCCTGAGTAGCCGGGACTACAGGCGCCCGCCACCACACCTGGCTACTTTTTGTATTTTTAGTAGAGATGGGGTTTCACCATATTGGCCAGGCTGGTCTTGAACTCCTGACCTTGTGATCTGCCCACCTCAGCCTCCCAAACTGCTAGGATTACAGGCGTGAGCCACTGTGCCTAGCCAGCTTGGTAGACTTTCAAACTCTTTTTGACCGTGACTTTCAGGAAGAAAGAAATACATTTTGTATTATGGCCCTGTAAACACATGTGTGTATTTATAAATGACATCAAGCCTTCATGAAATAATACTCCCAATGCTACTGTTCTGTTTTGTTAAAAAACAAAAAAATGCTGTGACTTGATTTTATTTTTTTTAGAGGCAGGGTCTCACTCTGTTGTCCAGGCTGGAGTGCAGTGGTGGGATCATGGTTCACTGCAGCCTCGACCCTCCTGGGCTCAAGGGAGAGCCCAGGCCCCCGCCACGTAGCTGGGATTACAGGCACAGGCCACCACACCCAGCTAATTTTTAAAAAATTTTTGTCACCAGGCATGGTGGCTCTTGCCTGTAATCCCAGGATTTTGGGAGGCTGAGGCGAGCAGATCACAAGGTCAGGAGTTCAAGACCAGTCTGGCCAACATAGCGAAACCCTGTCTCTACTAAAAATACAAAAAATTAGTCGGGTGTGGTGGCGGGCGCCTGTAGTCCTAGCTACTCGGGAGGCTGAGGCAGGAGAATCACGTGAACCCAGGAGGCAGAGGTTGCAGTGAACCGAGATAGTGCCACTGTACTCCAATCTGGGCGACAGAGCGAGGCTCTATCTGAAAAAAAAAAAAAAAAAAATCAAAAAAACAAGATCTCACTTTGTAGCCCACATTGGTCTTGAACTCCTAGACTCAAGCGATCCTCCCTTCTTAGCCTCCCAAAGCACTGGGATTACAGGCGTGAGCCACAGTGCCCAGCCTTGACCAGAAGATTTTAGTTAGACAAAGACTGCCCCCAAGGCTACTTCCAGTCATGGATTTGCTAGACTCCAAGGTAGGGGCCTGTACACTTCTATTTTCCCTAGATCCTGATCGATTTCTGGCTGTATTATTTAGGATGAGAGGGGTTATTGCTGTATAGCAAATTAACCCAGAAATCTCAGTGGCTCCATAGAACAAGCCTGACTTCTCACTCTTGCTGCCTGTCCTGTCTAGAGGGTGAAGGGTGTTATGTTCCACACGGTCTCTCAGGGCCTCAGGCAGACAGTTCTCTCCCCAGTCCATAACACATGGCCTCTCCTGTCCCTGCCCATGGGAAAAAGAAAGGTTGAAAGTCCATGCAGGCTTTTCACTGCCTTGCCCAGAAGTGACGTGTCATTTCTGCAGATGTTTCATCCGCCAGAGCTTGTCAATGACCCTGGCTGACCCCAAGGGTACACTGGTTGGTGTTCCTACTGCTGCGTGTCAAATCTCTCTGCCATTAGTGGTGTTAACGGCTGTTTATGCACCCTTGAGTTCTCTCAAGCTAGTGCATTTCACCCAAGTTGACAGGTGATAATGGTGTGTCCGGATTTTTCCTCTTTCTCTCTCTCTCTCAAGTGCAGCAATCCAGCTTCTACGGATACACGGGGATGCTACCCAAGCGGTACACACAAGGGGTGATGACCGGGGAGAGTGAGTATCTGCAGATCCCCGGGGGAGGGGGTGCTGAGCTGCCCTGGGCTCTGGAAGCTTCTTCCCGGGGGCTCCCCATGATGCGCCCCGGTCTGGGAGGGAGGCTTACAATCCCTGGGCACACTGAGCTAGGGACAGTGATCACCATCTTTCCTGGCCTGGCTGGGGGTAGAAAAGGGGTAGACTCCCACATGGGAGGGACATGTGGGCCTACACATGTGTGTGCTGTGTTTCTGGGGTGTGTGATCCTTTGTGATGGGGGAAGCTTGTGTGTCTCTGAGCATGTGGCTGGGTGTGCGTTTTGTAAGTCTGTGTGTGCTCGTGTGTTAGGGAGTGGGCCCCATCCATGGCCGTGATGTCATGGACATCACGCCATGCCTACAGCACCATGCTCTCCTTGTAGCCACGGACACACAAGCCACCCCCTGGTCAGCACCCCACGTGGGTGTCTCACGGGCTTCTCAAACTCACGTCTCCTCCCCCCACCCTGCCACTCACACCCGCCCCTTCTCAGCAAATGGCACTCCCTTGCTCATGCCTGAACCTTATATGACACCCGGCCCTTCTCCAAGTCCTAGTTCTGTCCCCTGGCCTCCAGCCCCTGCAGAGGGGCAGCACTGGCCCCTGGCAGCGACACTGTGTGCGTGCAAGCCCCTTCCTCCCAGGGTCCCCAAGCTTCCTTCTGTGCCTGGACCGCCCGGGGTCAGTGCCGCCCAGGCAGGAAGCGGAAGCCCAGATCAAGACCCACGTGGGCCTGGTTCGTTTCTCCCCTTGGGGGCGTTCTGCAACCCTCTGCCTGGTGCTGAGGTAGACCAGACGCTCCGGAGCGCCCAGACTCCCATCTTGGCCGGTAGATTTTGTGGTGGGGCTGAGCCAGAATGGGTGCAGAATTGTGCCGGCACACTGATGTCAGGTGGTTTATGGAGCCAAGGGCCCCGCAGAAAAGACGCGCTCAGAGCCCTGCCCACCCTCACGGGGTGGCCCACCATGGCCCTGACCCACCCTGCCTCACACTGGGCAGTGGCCCATGGCCACACTAAGAAAAAACCCACAGCCCGCCCACCCCAAGGCCCTCCCTCCCAGCCTCGTGACCCTAATCGCGGCTTCCAGCGCCTCAAACATGAGCACTCAGCTCACAGCAGTCCCCGGCCAGGAACACCCGTCCCCAGGATGCATTCCCGGCCCTGTCCTGCAGACCTCCGCGTCAAAGGCCCCCAATGGGACAGGGGTCCTCTAACTGCCCCCCACCTCTGCGCGCCCTCTCTTCCGTTTCTTTCTGCCCCCTGCGTGAATCACGCACAATCTTGTTTGCATCCATCCTCTTCCCACCCTGCGTCCGTGTGTCATCGTGGCCCTACTGCGTCCTCAGAGCAGGAGGGTGCAGCCACACAGCAGGCACTGGGTAAATGCCCCACGGTGGGGGTGTGTGAGCGGCGTCGGGGTGGGGCTGCTGTGAGGGGCAGCTCCTGTGAGCAGCTCCTCTTGTGGCTGGGGCGGAGCTGGGGGCAACCGGAGTTGGGGCCGGAGAGAGACGGGACTCAGGACTTAGATGAAGTGGCAGGGGGCGTGGCTGGGAAGGGAGGTGGGGCGGGGCTGTGTGGGGCCAAGCTGAGTGGGGGTGGAGGGTGGGATGCAGCTGGGCGTGGCTGAGTGGGGGCGGAGCTGAATGGGGTCGGGAAGCAGCTGGGGCGCTTACTGTAGGAATTGCTTGAAGGGGTTGGTGGAGCTGGTCTGGTTGTGGTAGCGGGGCGGTGGAAGTGGGTGGGGCCTGCGGTTATGGGAGGGGCCTGTGGGTG